AGGGAATTTGTGCTTGAAAATACTGAAATATCTTTTTTCAAAAGAAAGAAACAGAGGAAATTATTAGCAAAGGGTTTTTAATAATGTTGTTCTTGCTGAAAAAATATTATTTTTAAGTGCAAGGCTGTTCCCCTGTGCAGCAATCCCATCCCATTCTGGTGAGGCCATCCATGCTATATAAAGTTAAACATGAAACTATCATGGTATAAGTTATCTTAATGCTTAAATATGACAGCTCCTGGTCCATTGCTGTGTTGTGCTGCAGACTAACATGATTTTGGGGTCTCACACCAGTGACCCAAAGGTCAAGGCTGAGACAGGAGGAACCTCCCACCAAGGACTTGCCCAGACTCACAGCAGTGAGCAGTGTGTGTGTGGGATAATTCCTTACATGACCAATTCCATACCCTTCACAGGTCTTTAAAACAGTAGTACATTTATTTATGATCATAAATAATAATGATAAATAGTAAAATATAAAAAATATTTACTATATTAAAATGCAATAACTTAAATGCATTTAGAAGGTCAAATGTTTACTGTAGCAGAGGTGGTATTGCATGGAGTAGAAATGTGTTATTTTATAAGGGTTAATGGTCCTTCTGCACCTGAAGGCTTCAGGGAGGGAGGAGGGGGTAGCAGCAACTGGGGGTGAGGTGACATGCCAGAGCATGTCTCTTGTACTCAGCTTATTCCCAGTTAGTGCCAGTGAATCTCAGCTGCTCTTTAGAGGACTCGCAGCTCATTCTTCATTTCCCAGTGCCTTTTCTCCCCTTTCCCTTCATCTGGGAAGCTGGGAGCAGCCACAGCCACCTGGCTGCCTTCCTGCACTTTCCTTGTGACGGGTCTGGCAGGGCAGGCTTGGCCACAGCTTTTGCCAGAGCTTTCTTCTCACACAAAAATGTGCCAAGGAACTGCACTGCCAGCAGACACTGTCCCGCCCCGAGGATTTACAGCGTGGCCTATAGGAAGGGATGGTCCCTGTTCCCTGGCTCTGCTGCAGACCATGCTGCCTAATGACCCAGGGCCCTTCCCAGGGATACTAAAATATCATCATGCTCTTTTGTTCTGACACTTTCCTCCTCCTTAAAATGTAAGATTTTACCCCTTTTTGAAACCACAGAGACAGAGATTGAAAGGCAGCCCTTTGAGTTTGTTAAAATTTGACTGCAGGGTTCCTTCCGACCCCTCTGCTAATTTTTAGCAGAGCAGGAAACATTAAAAATAACCATGAGAGAAGATTTCCAAACTCAGAAGGATTGTCCTCTCAATAATTTCTGGCTTTGTTTTCACTAGATATTTCCCTCCCTTTAAAATTTTTGTGACATTGTTAGAGCAAGTACCTCCCTGCCAGCAGCAGGAAGGGCACTGGAGGAGGAAGGCAGAGGGCCAGGTAGCCAGGCTGGCACCTCTGCTTGCTCTGAGCCAGAGGTGAGTGATATACGTGGGAAATGCTTATTATTTATTGGAAGAGCTTTTGCATGTGAATCAGAGCTTGCAAGCTCCCCATTGTCCTTTTTTGGTGAACTCAAAGCTGTCCTCAAGCCTTCAGCTGATCTCAGCAATGGGTGAATCTCATTTTTGCAAAGAGAGGTGGCATTTTGGTGCTATATATCGAGAATTCTGAGCTCCTGCTGTGAAACAAAATGAAGAAAAATATTGGAATTTGTTTTCAAACATATCTAAATGTAGCCTCTTACTCTGAAGTTGAAATATTGTGTGGCCAAACCAAGGCATGCATGGAGAGTACATGATGTAGTAACAAGCTCTGCTCAAGCTCCAACATCTTATCTGAGAGCTGTCTGCATTCTCACCCTCATGTTATTAAGATGTCATTAAATAATGTATCATTAATGTGTACCATAAAATATTTATCATTATACAAATAATGACCTCACCCAGGTGATGGCAGAGGGGAATCCACCATTGGATCTTTATTCCCACAGGAACACCATGTGCCTACATAAGTCTCTGTGAGGGGTCAAACCATGGCATGTGGTTGCAATTGTCACTCCCCCCTGCCCCGTGTCACCAGCTCTCCCTGCTAACCCATCAGTGCCATCTTCCTCAAAGCACCCAGGATCAATGTATTTTGTCCTACTTGGCCAGTGCACTGATGGGTTTGGTCAGGATTGTGTTTTAGAGGAAATTGGCTGAATTTTTTCCTCTGCCTTATCTTAAAGCATCAGGTTTGTGCTGGGCAGAAAATTCATCCCCCTTTGAAGTAGTGAGCACTGAATTATGTGAAGTGTGGTTGCTGTGTGTGTGATTTAAAGACTTGTGATCAAGAGTGGGTGAAGGATAAGTGAAATTTGCCCCAGGGCAAAAAGCATAGCATAAAGCCACAGTGAAGCTTTCCCTTCCTTGGGGTGTCCAGAAAACTCACCTTTTTCATAGACTTTGTGCTGGTTGTTTAAGTGACAGTGATTTTTGGTTTTTGAGTGGGGGAATACGGGGTTACTTGTTGTTCTCCTGTTTCTTGTTTATTAAATAAATTGAAGATTGCCTAATCTTTAATTAAAATGACATGGAGAAGGATTCAAATAAAAGACAATAATGATCTCAACACATGGGTACTCCTGAGATTTACAAGGAGTCAAGTCAGCCCAAATTTCAGATGCTTTCTCCTGCTCTACTCATGCAATCCCCTGGCTCCTCTCAGGAGCCCTGCCTTGCTCACACAGACATCTGGCTGGGCAGGTAGAGCAGAGACAATTAAATCCCCAGCCCAGACTAACAAGACATTTAAAAGTCTGTGTTAGTCTTGTCCATTCAGTGCCATGGCTGGCCAGGAGCCCCTTTGAAACCCTGATGGATATTGTTTCTCTCAAGCATTAAATACTTTCCCTTAAACAAACATCCTCTGAATAGGCCATTGTTTTTCCTTCTGGATGTCCTTTTGTGGACTGATACAAGAATAGCTAAAAGCTGATGAATTGGTATTGTATATTAGAAATAAATAAAATCTGGGACTTCTACTCCTCTGAGAAGTTGAATGTGCAGCCAGTTCTCTGCTCAGGTCCCATGTCTTGCCCTCTGGAGGACAGGGAGTTGCAGGTGAATCACCTCAAACAATCATAGTTTCAGAAAAGAAGCTCCATGGACCTGATGCCTTTCCCAGGTGTTATAATCTAAGCAACTGAGGTTAGATAAAGCAGGGAGGAGGTGTTGGGGAAGAAGAAGTAGTTTGGTTGTGACCTGCAAGCCTTTGCTTGCTGACAGACACAGCTGCTTTATTTATATTTTTCATTACTGCTACTTGCACTGGTAGCTCCTTATGAGAAATAATACGCATCACGTGGTGAATGTAAACTGTGTTTGATAACTTCAGAAATCTCATGTGTGTAAAGAAATGCCCATTTATTTTTAAGTGAACTTCTCTTATACAGGTCCCCCAGCCCTTATGACCAAGGTACTGATGCCCTGCTCAGTGTTCAGCCACCTGGATTTACCTCTTTCTTAACAGAGCTGTGTCCCCCAGGATTTCATATTCCATAGCCAGTACAGACTGATTTATTGCTTATCAATGACTGTGAGCTGGAAGGATGCTCTTTTTAGTGCAGCCATTGGCCTCCTCTTTCACACCTTTGTCTCCTTTGTCCAATTTCCCCATCACAGATAGAAGTTAAACTAAAAATGAGTCACCCTAATCAGTTCCCTAAGAAATACAGAGACCTTTGGTGCTTTAGCCTTGCTTTGTACCACAGTCCAAACTATGTTTGCTTTGGTAGATCCCCCCAGCTGACAGGGCTCTATTGTGGGAGATGTTTCAGCCCAGCGTTTTGGAAGGAGGATGTGCAAGCACAGCCCTTGGATTTGCCATAGGTAGGGGACAGGAACAAGGCTGGGTTGGGTTTGAGCTCACCAGAGCCAGGCTGTGGTGTTGGGTCAGGCTTTGCCACAGGGACACTGATCCCTCCAGGGTGGATCCTTGTCCAGGGAAGCACGGGAGCACATGTTGGAAATCTGAGTGTGAAAGCTTTGACCAAGGGCTTTGCTGACTCGCAACCATCGTGCTGTGTCTCTTCAGGGACAGTTTGCAGGGCTGAGCCTTCTTTGGGCTTAAATAAGGAAAAGTGTTAGGTTTGTGGATTGGTGGGGATTCAGTTCTGGGATTTACCATAACTTGGGGGTGTTTCTTCATCCCCAAGTGCCTGTGTGCCAGCTGCAGCTGAGGGCAGGGGCAGCTTAGAGCACCTGTGCTTCCTCCCCGCACACATCCCTTCTCAAAAGCAAAGTTTCCCGTGGCCCAACACAGTCAGTGGCTTCACATTAATTAAGGGCACAAATGCCAGAGATGGCAGGGAAATAACCATTTTTCATGTTGATTTACCAGGCAGCAGCCCTAGGAAGGGGAGACCTGGGGAAGAACTGGGGTAACCAAGTGCTTGGTCTTGCAGTTACAACACACTTGCAGCTTTGTGTCACTGCAGACGAGCAAAGCACAGAGCTGTCAGCCCATGGGGCAGATGCACCTTCCCTTTCTCCACAGCAAGAAATCCCTTCCCATCAGTGAGACTTTACTGAAGGTGATGGCTGATACCATCACCCATCACATCTTGGGTAAATTGGCAGAGATTCAGCAAGTCCTTTGGCAAAAACAAATGGTTCAGGTCCAAGGTTGATGTGAATCACTCATGGATCTGCTCAGTTTGCCCAAATCAGGGGTGTTTTACTGCAGCTCCTTTTGACTTTACAAGCCTCAGGGAGTCCCAAGTGTTGTGCCAGGGCACTGTCACCTCATCCCTGTCACTAATCCTGTCGCTTCCTTTCACGCTCCTTCATAATCTGCAAATTGTTTGATGCCTCTTACTGTACTTCCCTGAAACCTTCCTGCTGGATTGCATGGATGAAGGATTAGGTATATCATAGAATCATAGCCAGAGATTGTGCTGTACGTAAGTAGAGCCTCTTTCAGAGCATGCCTGATATTGTTGTGTTTGTAAATTGATCATTTATTTATTTATTTTAATAATACTCTCTTTTCCTTCCTTTTCCAGGGGCCTCTTGGTTTGGATGGCAAACCAGTAAGTAGCACCAGGTGCCAAATATAGCATGTCTTTGCTCGTGCTGCTCTGCAATAAATATGCAGAATGTCAACTACTACTCGTTTATTACTACATATATAACAGTTTAAGGGAGAAAATTGTATTTGGGAAATAGTTCCATGGTCTGTAACACATGCAAGTTTGAATTCTGAGCCAGGGCTGGCCAGCACAGCTAGAGGTGACCTTTTTTTTACCTGTCAGCTCATCTCAGCTACTTCTTCCCCTCCTGTGCCAGCTCAGTGAGCAGACTGCAGATGGGCATCAGGCCAAATTTGGGAAATAATCTCCAGTAGCATATTCAAAGAAGCAAAGTCAGTAATCTTGGTTGTGTGCTCCTGGCACTACAAAGTGATACCATAAAAATAATTGATCCCAAAGCGGGTTCCATTTCACTCCAAAGGAGCTGAGGTTGGAACTACTTGAAGAGTGCACAGTGTCCATGCAATAGTTTTTGGAACAGCTGGACTTCATTTTATGAGCTATTTTCTTGACTTCATTTTTTGTTGGAAGCCCTTTGGATATTCAGGTGCTCCACTCTTTTCTTACTTATTTTACAGAAACCCAGACTTTTTTACTTTCATGCTAGCTGAACTCTGGCCAGCTCCAACTCCTGCTGCTGGATGGTTCCTACAGAAGGTCACAGCTCCATGTTTTGTGTCCAAACCCCATTCTCTTGCACTACCTTTCCTAGAGGGCACAATCTGAAATCTTTTATAGTTATGGTCCTAAACCAGCTGGGATTTCAATGTGGGCAGAAGTCATTCAGTCTTTGCAATTGAAAAGTTACTCCAGACACTTATTTCTAGCTAGGTAGGAGATGTGCTGTTAAAGCTGTACGTTGCTGTTGTTGGTTTTTATCCTACCCCTGAAGACAACAAATGTAAATAAAATCTAGAAATAAAGGATTAGAAATGAAACAAAAAGGAAGGCCAGCTCACACTGTGGTGCTCGGCTTTGAATCAGCAAAACCCTGTGACGGGAGCACAGTCGGACACTGGGAGCACAGTCCTGCACCCAGGGTGCCACTACCGGGCAGGAGTGAGACCCTGAGTAAGGGGCAGGGAAAACTTCAATGAAAAAGCAAATTTATCAAACAGTCAGAGTCAAAGCAGACTGTTCATGATTTTTTCCATGCCAGCAACCTTGCTTAGAGAGCAATTAACAGTGGGAGGGATGCGTGGGGATGCAGATCTGCCACTGCCGGCCTCTCTGCTGACCTTCCCCCACTGCATCCCACTGGGTCCTGCTTCAGCAAACTCCTTGAATTGGTCTGAACCCTGAGATTTGGTATTTTTCTGTGCTGGAAGGAGGATGCAGAGCAGGCACATCACAGTGTTGCTCTCGGGTTCTCTCTGGGGCTGCAGTGTGCCTCTGCCTGTCTTACAGGCAGCTGCTCAGAGGGAAGATGAATGATGCCTTCAGCAAATAGGCCAAAGAAAGCAGCCCGTCCTCCCTGTTTATTTCAAACAGATGTATAATTGTTGTAATGATATGCTGAGCATGTGTTTTTTCTAGAAGTGATTTAATACCTCAAGATATCTTTTTCATCTATTTGGAGTCACGTGTTTGAGAGTGACTGTCACACTGCCTGCCCTGCCCTGGTCCTTTCTCCATCCTCTGTCGTGGCAGGAGCAGGCAGAACCTCATGGGTGCTCTTTTGGCATTGTGCTGCTTGTGTCAAGCAGTGTGTAACTTTAAAAGAATAGTATGTATGCCTTAAAATAATAGAGAATATGGCTCTGGTTTGTGAATTGATGAATGCAATCTCCTTGTGTTTGGTGTCACTGATGATTCTGATGTTCCTTAACTTGGATCCTTTTTGTGTGTTTCCAGGGACCTCCAGGACCAAAAGGGGAAAAGGTAAAGGCTGCATTAACATGTGGCTTTTGGGGAAGCTGATGTGTATCCTCCTGCTGCTGTAATTCTCTCAGTTCGTGTTGCCCCAGTATGCCAGCGTGACGCTGGGTTTTGTTGGGACCTGGAGCTGTGACAGTGGGTTCTCAGGTTGCTCTTGGAAAAGCCCCAGGAAGGGAGGGAGGGTGGGCAGGAAGAATTTGCAAAAAACTAGAAGGGATAAGTGTGGTCTTAAAGCTCACCCACACTATAGGGTTTCTGGTAAGCCCTTAAGGGTCACGAGATTGGCATAAATCATTCTTGGCTCCTCCAGGAGCTCTGGGCTCCATCGCTCCGTGTTTGCATGACATCCTCCCCTGAAATGAGAGTGGCCAAAGGAAGTCATTACTGTACTGAAAGTGAAGATAATTCTCACATGTGTAGGACATAAGCAGTTGCTAGGGGAGCCTTAGAGTTGGGAACAATCTGCTATTTCTGATTTATTATGTGTTTCATCGCCTGCCAGGGCAGAACCCTTCCCTATTGTGTTGTCTCGAGCCCTTCTCCTCCCTGGTTTTGAATACATTAAGCAATAGAACACTCTTGCCACTTCCCCTGTGTGCTGTACCCACATCCAGCTGACCCTGTGCTTGGTCCTTGGGGGTTGACCTTTGAACTCTCAGCTGACCTTGCTGTTTTGCCTGATGTGCAGGGTGAAGCAGGGGACGTCGGCCCAAGGGTAAGTAGTGACACGGCACGTTAATTTATTCCAAAATCTGGTTGGGTTTAGTCACTGCACAAAACAAGGCTTTGTGTGCAGCTTTGCTGCAAACTGAGGTATGGTAACAATTCTGGAAATGCTTAATTTTGCCTTTGGAGCTCTTTTGTGGTGGTGGTGGTTTTCCTCACTTTGGCCATGAGGAAAAAAGACTTGAAGATCTTTGGGTTCCTTGTGAAGGGTTTCACTTCTACTGAACTTTCTTATCCCTGATTTCCTCTTCCAGTGTCAGAGACAGTTTCTCTTGAAGCTGAACTCCTTATCTGTTGGCATTAGAGCACCACTGCGTGGTGGTAGGGCCTGGTGCCCCAAGGAGAGGTCAGGCACAGTGTTGTGCAGGATGGAATGTTCCTCCTGTCTTGCTGAGCTCCCACCTGGGCACGTGGTGGCACACAAGTGATATCCAGGCTGCCTTTGGAAACAAAGAGTTTAAAGTAACTGTAAAAAGTTGGCTGGTAGGGTTAGACACCATTGCTGGAAACACAACCAGGACCTCAGTGGTTAATGTCAGGCAGAGATGCATCAGACATCTTTATTTTTCTCCCTTGTGAAGTCACTTTTGGAAGTTGGTGTCATTTTCTGAAGTGGCTCCCAAATGCCTTGGGCGTGTTGGGAAATGTCACCCTTGGGGTCTTGAGAGCCCCTCAAATTTCTCTGGTAGATTTATGCCCTGTGTGGCTAAGGAGGGGCTCAGCTTAAGGTTTCCACTTTGTCTAAGTGCCCACCCACATACTCAAAAAAGGCTTTAAGAGGTGATTCAGCAGCACAGGGGTGTGAGTTTTCACTCCTTTGCTGGGGCTGATGGCTGAGGAGATGCTGGAGGAGATGCTGCTGTGGGAGATGCTCCAGGACAGGCTGTATCTGGAATTGTGGGGCAGGTGACAGCTTCCAAGGTAACACTTATCCTATGTTTTAATTTACCAAGAAAAAAGTGCTTGGTTTTTTGGTTTTTTCTTCGTTTGTTTTGGTTTTTGTCCTGATCTGCATTTGTCCAGATTTTGCTTTAGTTGTAGATTTATTTATGTCTTTTTGCACAAGAGTAAGAAAAAGGCTCAAAAACGATTTGGGAGGAAAGAGGGAGAAACAAGCCTGGCAGAGCCAGGCACAAGTAGATCTAAAAACAGGTGCCTGTCTTTGAAAATAGCTTCCTTTATCTCTTCAGACACTCAGGGTTGTGAATTGGATGTGAAACTTCTTAATACCATCTGGCCCAGATTATTTTTTTCTGAATTTAATCTATCTTCTTCCTCCAGTTTCAGTGGTGGCTTTGTTTAGCTGATTTTGAAAGATGTGTCACTGCAAGTCATCGCATCAATGGGAGGATAAATTATAGTTACAGGACTATGTCCAGTGCCCTCTCCCTCATAAATGTTCATGTCTATGGGTGGTGGAGTGGGGATAGACTGTGTCAGTGAACATTAAAATATCATCATTAGGAATGACAGATTAAAAGAGAACAATGGTTGGGGCAACTTTGGAGGGACTGTCTGCAGTGGCAGTGAGGTGATGGCAATTGGGGATTAGCTACTGAATATGTTCATGTCTGCACTGCTTCTCCTTCTGTCTGTAATAAACACCTGCCACCAGCATGGACAAAAAGAGAGATTATTACATGTTTGAGTGTGCCTGGTGGCGGATGTTGGAGGGTGATTTTGGAAAGCTGAGGAAGATCACATTGGGTTGAATGCTCGTTCTTGTAAACAGCATGAGGGAGGATGCTGTGCAGCCTCACAGGTCAGGATGGGGAATAAAGGTACCCAAATACACTGCCAGAATGCATGGAGGTGTATTTACAGGGAGAAACCAGTAACAGATCCTCTCTGCTCTGAGGAGGATGGAGGCAGTCGAGGCAGGATGCTGCCAAGGCTGTGCCCTGGTATTTGTGCCTGTACTTCTCACTCAACATCAAGTATTCTGCTACACCTCCCAAAAGGACCGGCTTTATAAGCCAGACTCGCTCCCTGAGCCGGCACTGGGATGACTGCTCTGGATTTATGACCTTAGCTGGGTGATCTTGTTCTTACTGACAGCTCAGATGTTCAGACAAACGATGGGGTTGATGAATCTCTGCACATCTGGGCTGGCGGATGCGCCGCGCCTGTGGCAGCAGCACCGGGACTGCTCCCGAGGGGGGGAAAATGAGCTGCAGCTGGTGAGGGAAATGCTCTGCCTGCAGTGGCCCACGTGGCACGGGCCTGCTCGATGGCCAGTGCTGATGGAGATGGCACCAGCACCACCTGCACCCTGAGCTGCCAGGGGGGCTGAACGCTGGTGTGGCTGAACCAGCTCTGCAGCTCTGCTCCACAAAAGGAGCTTTTTCTCTCTTACTTTCTGCAAAATTGTGAGTGCCTGCCAAGCTCAAATTGCAGATAAAAACTCGGCATAGGAAGTGTCCTGCAGAGCTCACTGTGACAGTCAACAGACACCTCTGGATGCTTCTATTTTATTGTTTGCTTACTTTGGAGCATTATGTTGAAGTGGCTGAATGGAGTTGTCTAAAGCTGGAAATTACCAGTGCTCAAGGTTTCAGTGCTCTAACATTCCACTGCTCCATGGGGTCAGACCCAATGGCCAGTTAGCCCAGTGCCTTGCAACCAGATGCTTTGGGAAGTGTGGAGCAGGAACATGTAGCTCCATCACAATTAACCCCTCTCCTGGATCCTGGTTATCTGTGGCCTGGGCATTTCTTGAACCAGGGGTGGTGTCTCCGTATTTAATGTCTTTCAGAGATGTTCACCTTTCATGGGCCTGTCAGTAACAGGAACTGTTTAAAATTAAACGTGCACTGGCTGGATTTGGTGGGATATGGGGTGTTTGGCCTTGGAGGAAACACAAATTGTTATTTCACACTGAAACAATTAGGGCTGGGCTTGGAATGTCCTTCCTTGGATGGTGCTCACCAGTCTGAGGGGCAAGGAAAAAAATTCAGTCTCTGCCTTGCTCTGTGGGCTTTTATGAAAATCCTACATTATGCCCTTGTGTATCTTTATGAACATAATAAGCCATAAAACTGTGTCTTTTGTGTCTACCACAAAATCCTGTGCTCTCAGTAGAGTCTTTTTGGTGGTTTCTGTAGTATCTGGAGGGCCTGGCCAAGTGCAAGGGGTCTATGTCCCCATTAATTTCAATTTGTCAGGATTTCAGTGACATTCTTCCCAGAAATGGCTGTATTTAAGTGAGTGCTGAGCTGAAGCCTCTCTCTGTAGTTTGAAAAAAAATCATTGGGAGGGGTTTATTTTCTCAGGTTGGTTAGTTTTTTCCATCTGACTTTACTTTCCCCTCTCTTTTTGAGAAGAGGGTGATAAAACATCTGAGCTCAGTGTTCCTGTGCATGCCTGTGGCTAAGCCTGGGGAGGAGGTGGCCTTGCCCTTGCACTACTTACACTAAAATTGAGGTTTGGGGTTTTCTGTTGTTGGTGTGTAAGGCTTAAAAGCTCCTTGGCAATTTGAAAAAGAGGTTTGTTCCTTAGAAACCTCCAAAAATCCTCGTGAAGGATGTGCTCTGTGTTCTCCCAGGGCTTCTTGTGGCTTCACCCCACCCCTTTGATTATCCTATGGATGTGTGCAGGGATGGGTTGGTGGAGGAAAGGGAGTTGCACGTGGTGCCCTGAGAAAGGAAGTGTCTTACTGTTTCTCCCTAGATGATGAGGGGAAAGGCTAAAAGACAATAGCAATGACTACTGACATGGTCTAAATACATTGTTTTTGCATCATATAAATCTGAGAGATTTATCTGCAATTTGCAGGCTGGGGAATACATCAGTATTCATTTTAGCCTCTGAAAACAAAATATAATATTTGGTCTCAGGGAAATGCTGGGATATATCCCCTGTGGGGTTTACTGGAATAATGCTCTTTATTCTGCAGTAGGGAAATTCTTGTCCCAGCTGCTTTGGATGTCCTATTGTGCAGTAAATTCATGAAAAAATACTTGTTTCCCTCAGTCTGTGTCCTGCTTACCAAGGTCCAGTGTATCCAGAACCTTAAAACCACCACTGCTGGCTACCAAGACTATTTCTTTCTCATGCATCAATTAATTGTCAAAGGCAAATTGTTATATATTGATGTAGCCTTTAAAACTCACTCTTCTGCTGTGCTTTCACCTTAAACTGTTGCTCTTTCTTCTTCTGCCTCCCACTTTCCCTGGCTAGATGGTTTTCCCCCACCTCAATCACGGATTTCTGGCTAATGATCAGCTTGTCTTTAGTCGGCGAGTGCTCAAGGTAGACACCAAATCTGCTGGTTTGTTGTGATTCTTTGAGCTGCTTCTGTTTCTTCCTATTGCTATTTTAAATTGTGACTGCCATGGCTGTGTTTTCAGATGCTCAGTGGGGGCGTGTTTGAGTGAAACCCCGTTGGAGTTTAGGGCAGGTGTTTGTCAAAGTAGAGAGACAAAAAACTAATGGGTTTTAGCATTTGCTTCTTTGTGAGATTTTGGAATCAAGCAGCAAAGTCCTATAAATGTTGATATGAACAGTGCTGGTATTGTAAAATAAAATACATTAAAACTAGAGTAAGCTAAATCCTTGATACTCTAAATGTGACATTTTAATTAGGAAAAATTCAGTGGGAGACTTGACTTGACATAATTGGTTGCAGTGTTCAGCATTTGCAATAGGGTTTTTTAAAAAACTGTGCAAGTGATTTAGGAGCCCAGATCCTGTTGAAAGGCCGTGGGATTTGTGCTGCTAAGTCACTTAAGGACTTCTGAAAAATCCCACACTTGTCCCTGATTTGAGGGTGAACCACATATTAAATACAGCCCTCTTACTGCCTCGGTGGTGACTCTTCCAGATGTTGCTAAAAGATTTATGAGGCTGCCTTTCCATGAGGCTTTCCATTGTGCAGCCACATGGATGGGCCTGGCCTTGGGGCTGGGCTGGGATACCCGGGCATGGAGCCCCTCAGGATGCTCCCACCAAAGCTTCACAGCCACACAGAGATACTGCTGCTGCTTTTCCTCTGCACCCAAGCAATGCAGGGTGTGAGTGACTCTGGATGGTAATATATGGCCTTGGCTGTGTTTAAAGGATGAGACTAAGCACTGCTCCTTTTTTTGTGTGGCTTTTCTGGTGTGGTGCACTAAGCTGTGGCAGTGTGTGCATGCTCCAGGCCAGCATGTTGTGGGTCTGAGTTATTTCTGGGTGCTGTTGAATTGGTAGTTTCCATGCAGACAGTCGCTTGCTAAGGGCTTAATGAGATAAAAGCTTGTTGGAAGGCTTTGAGCACAATCTCAATTAAGGAATCAGACCCCAAGGGCATAAATTGGCCATGAGCTCACTTTCAGCCTCCCCAATTGGCAGCTGTAATTAAATTCCCCTGGGACAGCAGAGGCCAGGGTGCTGGTGGCCCAGGGATGCAGTGCATGTGTTGTGGGCACCCTGCAGCCACCGCTTGCTGACGCCTCTTCATCTCACCGTGTCTGTGTGAACTTCTTCCAGGGTGACCAAGGTCGAGATGGAGCCACGGGCCCCCCCGGTCCGCCAGGACCCCCAGGTGCCCGGGGGCCTCCTGGTGACACGGGAAAGGATGGCCCAAGAGGACCTCCAGGCTCCCCTGTAAGGACGGGAGATGCGCAGCGAGCTCACGCCGGGCAGTTCCCACCCCCCGAGGGAGAGGAGGGTGAAGGGTGTCCCTTCCCCGGTGCTGCCACCCCAGCCACTGCTCCCCAGCTTGAGCCACTGCTGGGCTCCCATGGCTGCCTGTGGAGCCAAGCTCCGGGGCAGGGAGTAGGAGGAGGGATCTTCTGTCTTAGGTTTTGGAGCAAAGAGCTGGACCTGGGCAGGTATTTGCAGGTGTTGTAACTGAGAGACCCCAGAGATCTCTTCCCCCATCCACAGCCTTAGGGTGACCTGCTGCAAACCTGCAGACCACTGGCAACTTATTCAATGGAAAAACAGGCTAAGGGATAATGCAGTGGAACGTTCTTAATTATTGCTGGTCATTTTGGAGGCTGTAACAGGTAATAGTTCCAACGTTTTTCTTCTCATTTTCGCAGGGTTTCAAAGGCGAGCCAGGAGAGGAAGGACTCATGGTCAGTATTGCCCAGGAGCACCTGTGTGTGTGTGTGTGTGTGTGTGTGTCCCTCACCCCTTGCTTTACATCACCCTTCACCTCACTGCAGCCAAGAGGGTTTGTTGTTGCTTACAGAGACCAAAAGAAAGCCATGTGAAATTTAGATTGCCCTAAAATGGATGTTTGTCCACGGGTACCTGTGCCCTGGGGAGAAAAGAGGCCAGTTATCTCATCCCCTTGGCTCTTCTGGAGGGATATAGTGCTCCTTTATCCTGGTTTTTGCCCCTCTGAAGCCACCTGGCATTGTACTCCCAATTCCCTAAGGTTCAGGTTAGACAAAAAGGTGCTTATTATACATAAAATACATGAGCCATAAAAGAATATTATTTACTTGACAGCACAGAGAACTTTAACAGTGTAATTTATAAGGGAAGATGAGAAGTTGGCACTTGTGTCATTTTTTTTTTCCATGGAATTTAAGTACTCTTGGAAATGTTTGACAGAGTATAACAGCATAAAAACAAGTAAATCACTCCTATATCCAACAGGGTGCCAGAGGACCTCCAGGACCAAAGGTGGGTGATAATCTGTCTTGTTTTACACGTGAATTCTTGAAATTATGCTGCATAAGAGGGGTGGAGATGAAAATAAGCATTTTGCACTCATCTGTATATACCAGCTATAAAATTCCAAGGTATTGCATTAGCCATCGACTGGGGGTGTAAATGTCTGAATGTGTCACTTCCTCAATATCACAACCACTGCCCGTGTTCAAACCTGGAAACAGGGGTGGAGGGAGCCACAGGGGGGCTGGAATCTGCTGTGCTGTGGGAATGTGCTTTTTGGAGGGGATAAAGATGATCAACACAAGCCAAGTATTTTAATTTTACAACTGATTCTGACTATCCATACAATTGGTCTTATTTTCTGTTATTCCCTTAACTTCTTTCTCTTCTGTTGACATTGCTGTTGAAGGGTGAGCCAGGAGTCCAAGGGAAAAAGGTAAAATGGTGATTTTTTTTTTTAAATTATTCTATTTTTTCTTTGCTTTGCTCTGTGCTTGACTACAAAAATCATTGCCAAAGACTGATGGAGAAGCTGTGGGCATGGATGTCCATACCAACCCTTTCCTTGCGTTCCCTGGGATTTCTCACCCAACTGATCCTAAATTTCAGGCACAGCCATTCCTGCAGCCTGGCTTTCATTTCCACAGGCAAGCCAGAAGCTGCAATCACATCTGCCCACTAGACAAAGAATAAAACAGCAAATGCCAAGCAAAGCAATAGGTCTTGAGCCCTTTGGCTTCAATAATTCAGGCTGAACAGAGATGTGCCTGGAGCTTGAAGCTCCCGGGATGGGCATCCCTGTGCAGCACTGCAGTCCCGTGGGAAATGCCCCTCTTAGGGACAGCCTGCTTGGGTCTGGGACTGAAGATTGTGAGAGATTCACATGTCCAGGCTCTCCACGTTTTCTCCTCGTGGATAAATCACTGCCTTTAACTGAAGCCAAAGCACTGACAGGGCTCAGCCTTCCCCTCTTACTGCTCTGCACCAAAACAGAGGTGGCTGTGGGTGTTTTTCAGGCCAGAATTTGGCTTAAAAAAAAATCATAACTGGCCTGTAAAATTAATCTCTCCAGCACCTATGAAGTGGTTTTACTCCAGGAGAACAATGAAGCACGACAAGCAGAAAAAGAAAAACCCCTCCTGGCAGGTGGTGTTGGTGACTTGTGGTGAAGTCCACGAGGATGGGTGGCAGCTTACAGGGACAAAAAAATCCTTAAAGGGATTAAACATCTAGTTTCTATTGAAGGTGAAGCACCTTTCCCAGGACCTGCTGTAAGCAAATTCTGGGAGATGCCCATCCACCTTCCCAGGAGCAGGGGAGGCAGAGGCAGGGACGGATGGGAGCAGGGGACCACTCTGGAGCCTCCTGGGCTCCTTGCTGCAGCCCTCCCCTGGCCTCCTGCAAACCTGAGAGGGTTCCAGGTCTATACAACACCCAGTTGGGTCAAATGATGTGTTGGATCCTAATAAATGTGTACAGGGTCTGTGTATTTCACTCTTTACATTTTATTTCCCCAGGGTGATGATGGGATCCCTGGAGAACCAGGACTTGTGGGCCCTAAGGTATGTTCTGCTCTGTGTCCATCTGGTGCATGTGTTTGGAAGCATCTTTTGCTGTCTGGTTTCTTGGCACCACATCACAGTGGGGGCAGGTTGTGAAGCACATTTCTCCTCTGACATAGAAAAAAGATCAGAAACTTTGAGGGTGGGGAGGGCCCGGCACAGGTTGCCCAGAGAGGTTGTGGCTGCCCCATCCCTGAAATTGTTCCAGGCCAGGTTGGACAGGGGCTCAGACACCTGGTGTAGCAGAAGGTGTTCCTGCCCATGACAGGGGTTTGGAATGAGATGATCTTCAAAATCCCTTTCCAATCCCAACCATTCTGTGATTCCACACTGTGGTTCTGGGGCCAACTTTATGGCTGAACACACCACCCACAGCCAAACTGTTAAGCTTCATTTTTATCTCTTAAAAACTGCCCATTTGCACCCAGACAATGTGATGTGTTTTACGGCCAAAAGCAGAGCTTTGCTCACTCGTGTAGTAAAATGAAGATAAAGGAAGAAAAGAGTAACCTGAAGAACTCTGTTCTCCACCCTCCCTGTGTAGCATTTGCCTAAATTGCCTTGTTTTCAGGGAGAAAAAGGAAGCGTGGGTCCCAAGGGAGAGAATGGCACCGATGGCTTCCCAGGACCCAAGGTAAATAAAACCCAAACTGACACAAAACAGGGGCATGTTATGAGTATTTTACCTTTTCCTGGTGACTTCAAGCTGGGTTCAAGCAGAGATCAGCAGAAGAGTTTTTAAATTGTCTCCTGGAATGTTTTCCATTGGATAGCTTTTTTCCTCAAGAGAGGTAAAACTCTGATCACATTTTGATCTGAGGTGATTGATGGCTGTGGCATGTGATGAAGAAAGTGGTCTCTGGTGACTCTTAGTAATTTTTTTTTTTCTAGATCCATAGTAACAGTTGTTCCCCCTGGTATCTCTTGAATTTAGGGTGTTTTTCTATGCATTTTTACCATTTTTTTTTACTTTTTGGAGGGCTTTAATTTTGTCAGCAAAAGGATTTACATGGGTATGGCAAATGGGGTGTTTTTTGAATCCTGAAGTGAATTTCAGGTCACTGCTGTGGGAGTACTATGGCTTTTTGAAACTCCCTAATTTTTAAAAAAATACAGAAAAAAAGGAAGAAAGAAAAAGAAAAAGGGAGGGAAAGGGAAAAAAACGAGGAGGGGAAAAAAAAAAAAAGAACAATTTGGCACAGCCCTTTTCCTTAAACTTGTCCTTGAAAATGGTTTAAACATCTTGGCTGAAACTTTCCACATGTAAAACTCAGCCTAAAGCAAAGACAGCCATGTGGAACCAGCACACAAAGCTTGGCATGCTTGGAGCTGGAAAGTGGCACATCACCAATACTGGGGGCTCAGCCCTCAGTGGGCCACTCCACTCCCTCTGCAATGAGACCTTCTCTCACTGTCAGCCAACCCACACCAATGTTATTTGTGGCAAAATATATTTGCTCTCAAGTGGAATCTATTTTTTGCTGGGAGAAGCAGTCCCTTCTTGGTGTCACACTTAATCTAAAGCATATCCTTATGGGTGGGTACAGTATTTTTGGGATAAATATTCTCTATTTTCCTTGGTCTCTTTGAACCAAAAATGTGATTTTGATTTTCAGGGTGAATCCGGTGAGAAGGGAGGAGTTGGCTCCATTGGACCCCGGGTATGGATGTTCAGGATTTCAGTTTGGAGCTGTGTATTTGCCTCAACCTGAGCTGTTCCCCACCACCTCTTTCTGCTTAGTATGTGTTTGAATTGCTTCAGGATCAGTTCAGTGCGAGAAAATAGAGGTGGTGCATATTTAAACAAATGATTATGCAGGTACCAAATGCTGCCACAGGAGATAGCTCTGGGAGATCAGTCAAGTCCACCCTGTAATCTTTTTTTTTTTTTTTGCAAGAGGGAAGCTGGGAATAGGGGTGATCAAGTGAGTATTTCCATGCACTTCTCCCTTACACCAACTGATGCCCTTTTGAGGTTTGGTTGGATGGCAGTTCCAGCTGTCAGACCAGGGACTGGTTAAATCCGTGGGGTTTGTGAGGTGATAACCCCCAAACACTGCATGTCAGGTCTTTGCTTTCATCCCACCCACCTCTCAGTGCTGTAAAATTGAATAGGATTCATCCCTGGTTGCAGGGTCCCCCTGGCCTGAAAGGGGAACAGGGCGACACGGTCGTGATCGACTACGATGGCCGGATCCTGGATGCACTCAAGGTGAGCCCTGCACCAAGGCCATGCAGAGTCCTGCAGTTAATGGGAAAGGACTGAAAGCCTGCCAAGCTCTGCCCTGGTGATATTGTGACATCTTCCTGTCCTGTGTCTCCTTCCCAAGATCTCTGCCTTGGCACAGAGCTGGCTGGGAGGGAAGAGCTTATTACACCTGGGGGCTGAGGATATTTAGGATGTACCAGCAAAAACCAGTGGCAGAACTCCAGGCTGTGAGCTCAGGCTTGTGGGATCCGGCTGTGGGATGTGGGTTAATATTCTGCAGGTAGAAGCAGTGTGACACAGCCATATAAACACCTGATGCAGTGAGTGTGAGCAGCCACATCACAGCTCAGACACTTGCCAGCAGCAGGGTGTGATTCCCATGGTGTGGAGCTGCTGCTGTCACTGTCACTGTACACCCTCTTCTAGCAGCACTGGGGATGCAGGAGGAAGGGGAACAGCACCCAAGCCCTGACCTGCCTGACTGAGCAGAGCCCTGCCTTTTTTCTTAGGATGGAATAAGCTGAATAGAGTAAATACTTAATTACAGACAATTGAGAACCATCCTAATTGTTTTATAACAGGCTGCAGGGATACACAAAGTGCTGGTAATTTCCATTTGCCAGATGTCTGCATGGCGTGGAGCTTTTGGGAGTGGAGTTTGTGGAGTGCAGTGGTTGGAAAGGCTCCATCAAACGTCTGGAGGCTTCATCTGCTGGGCCCAGACCCTCTCCTATGTTCTGCATGCAAAGGTTGCTGAGGGGCACATCACTGAACCTCGCTAACTTTGCTGTTTTCCTGCTTATTAGCTGCTTGCAGTGTTTGTGCACTGACCTATCTCATGGGCAAGGCTTTGGAAAGGATTCCAGTGTGACTAAATGTAACAGCATTTGAGTGTGCAGCCATGGAAAAAGGTGCTTGAGGATATGATACTGGTTTGGTTTTCATCTCAGTGAGACCACAACTTCTGCTGTTTGAAATAATTTGCTAGTTGGAAAATATTTGTTCATCTCAAGGTGGTTTGTGGTCTCTGCACCCACCAGTGCCCATGAAAAACAGCTTCCTTAAGTGTGCTGTTAGTGCTCACACAAACTCCTTCGTTTCCCCTCTTTAATTGCACCTCCCTGGCTGTTGCTGTTTCCAGCAGGATGCTGCTCCCCAGGCCAGCTGGCTGGAGCAGGCAGAATGCAAAAAGAAACCACCAGATTTGGGGCCACACCTCTGGCTAGAGGCATTTTGCCTCTTAACCCATGTGCTGCTGCACCTGTACACCCAGCTCACTCCCACTGTGTTTTCTTCTGCATGAACAACCCCGTGCCAGAGGGACCTTGGGTGTCTCTGTGTCAGTGGAGCTCATCTCAGTGTTTGAGCAACCCCACTCACCTGAGAGCCTGTTGCAGGTCGTGGTTGGGAGCTGCTCCTGGCTCATCACCCCAGCACGTGGATCGTGTGCCATGTTCATGTTGGTCAGGATCAAGCCTGTTTTGTTTGCTGTGTTTCAGGGTCCACCGGGTCCCCCAGGGCCACCAGGCCCCCAAGGCACTCCAGGTCCCAAGGTGAGCTCAACCCCTCCCATGCAGTGTTCCCAAGAAACACTCCATGTGGAGTCTCCCATGGTGATGCTGCCTGAGGAGGAATGTGAGGCTATGTGTTGTAAAGGAAATGCTGTGGCTGAAAGGAATTGCTCTGGCTGAAAAAAGGAGGTTTTTACACAAAACCCAAAGTTTTGTTGATCTGTCTCTGGTCTCCAGCCTCTTCCAGAGGATGCTGTCCCAGAAAGGAATCCACTCCCAGTCCCACACCTGACAGGTGAAATCCCAGTCCCTCTGAGACCACTGTGGCAGGAAGCAGAAGCAAATGGGAGAAGCAGTTGTGAGAGGGGCTGGCAATGCCAATGGCTGTGCTGAGCCACCTCAGTCCCACCCTCCCCGTGTGCCATTTACTGCCCTCCTGCTTCACAAGCAGGAGTCTGTACCCTGCAGTCAGCTGTAGTTTCTTTAAAAGAAGAATGTAATTTGCAGAAAAACATCTCTTGGAAGAATGAGGTGGGACAGGATTTTGGTGCCCAAGGTCTCATATTTGGATGAACCAGTAATGCTGATGCATCACTGACACCTCCTTGGTCCTGAGCCTGGCAGTGGCAAACTCATAACCACAATGGTTGTGTGTGAATAACTCATTTCCTTGCCAAATGCTTTCCTGAGATGATTTCCTGATTTAATTTACCACGTGCTCCCCTTTCCTTGTGTCCCTTCAGGGAGAGCTGGGCTTGCCGGGCCCACCTGGACTGGACGGTGAAAAGGTGAGCTGGGCTGGATCGAGTGAGGCCTTGCAGGAGCCAAATAAAAAAGACACACAAATACTGGGTGTCTGTGAAGAGCAAATCCAGTCTTCCAGGGGCAAGCTCTGCTCTGTAATGTCAGCTCTGTCTCCTTGAATCGATGCCCCCATTCCGATGCTGCTCCCGGCCATGTCTGCCGAGCTAAAGGGGCTCCTTTCACAAGTGGTTCATCAGATGGTGTCTCCAGTTTTTTCATAAAACTTCCCGACCCTAAATGGCTGCAATCCCTGCTGTGGCCCAGCCAAATTCTACTGTGTCCACAAGATTGGCCTACGTGAGTTTGAATGTTAAAACATGTCCTCATGAGCTCGCGCTGCGATGTGGAGGCAAACGTGGAAAGGCAGAAGGGGCTGTTGGGTTTGGGGTGGGGGGTTTTTTAACAGTTTTCTCCTAAGCATGTTGTTTTCTGTCAACTTGCAGGGTCCCAAAGGAGCAAAGGGTGACCAGGGCAGTGCGGGGATCACGGGGCAGAAAGGAGAGACAGGAGAAATGGGCTTAGCGGGTCCACCGGTACGTCCCTCTCTGTCCTGTCCATCTGCTGCTTGGTTCTTTAATGTCACTTCTGCAAATGCTCACAGCGTGACCAGGTTGGCAGATTTAAGCAGTGACCTGTCCACACCATGTTGCCATGGAAGCTGGTGAATGCAGGAGCTTTGAATTTGCATTTCTAAGGATGATGATAACAGCTCGTTCAGAAGGTACCAAGGGGGAGAAAATCTTTCTTCAAAGCCCCCCGGGGATGAACATGAGCTTTACTTGAGCCAAGGCTGGAGTTTAGAGGGGGACAAATGTATTTTTCTCTCTTGTTTTTGCTTTCCTGGAAGATGCACCACACCAACGGTACATTTTTATCTTTCAGGGAGCAGAAGGGCCAAAAGGAGACAAAGGAGAAAAAGGAGACACCGGCTCACCATGTCTGCAGAACAATCATGTAAGATCTCGGCAATATAAAACCTCTTCCTTGATGTGGGGTCAGGCAAAGTTGGGGGATGCAGGCTGGACCTGCCAGTCCTGTATCCATCAGCAAAACCCATCTGTTGTCTACAAGAACTTTCAGGAGCATCTACATGGGATTTATTTGTTAGGGAAGAGCAGTTTGGACACTGAGCTACGAAGTTACTTTAGATTTTGCACTGATGGTTGAGATACTGTTGTTATAATTGTTTTGTTCTCAAAACAGAGTAAGCTCCTTGCAGTTATATGGGATTTCTGCATCCTTTTTTCCTTATTCATGCTTATTGTTTAATAGAAAAAGAAGTGGTAGGTTTTGATAGTTTGGTTTTCTTTTAATAATGACAGGAAAGTTCTAATTTTGTTCAGGGGGTTGGTTTGAGGCTTTGTTTTTTTGTTGTGTGTGTGGGTTTTTTTGGGGGGGAGGTTGTTTTGTTTTGTTGGCTTTTGTGGGTTCGGGGTGGTTTTTTTTTAATTAAAAAGTCTGGTTTTCTCCAGTCTGTGCAAAAAATGCCATCACTACATCCATTTTATGACTGGCAAATACACTGAGTGGTGTTGGTCAGGCCTCTTACTTTAGAGGCTGCTTTGATTATTCGTGTGCTTATAAAGATTCTTTTATTTATAAATACTACAAGTGACTCTTTGATTAGCAGATACTTTGATTAAAGCCATTAAATCAGAGAGCTTTAAAACATGATTCTGGGTTTTGTGAGGTTTCCATTGGAGAACTACCTTGTCTCTATGCCCAGCCTTGTTAACGTGCCATTTAATTCCCTTCCACAGATCATACCTGAGCCTGGACCCCCTGGATTACCCGGCCCTATGGTAGGACTCTGGAAAGTGGTTGCTGCAGATCTGTTATTGCATGTGATTAGTCAAGGACAAGGGTGGTTTGCTCTGTTTAACCATGGTGGGCTGCTGTGAATCTGGGAAAAAAAAGTCAGGGAAGAGCTACAGTGCTGTGTTCTGTCTTTGGAGAGATGAAAGCACCCGTTTTAGGAAAGTGCATCAGCATTTGTGGCTCATTTTGCAAACAGCCAAGTTGTTCCTTGGGTTGGAGAAAAGATAAAGCCTTGTGGGATGGGAAAATTTGTTCCCCACCATGATGGTGTCTGTATTCCCTAAGCTTGCCCATATCAGTAAGTTCTTTGCCATCAGCTGCACTGGGAGAGGATGCGGGTGGTGAACATGTGAAGCACTTCTGATGCAGATATCTGAGGGGTTTGGTGTCTGAAATGCTCCAAAAGGAGCTGTCAGAGGCATCTGGAAGGCCAGGATGTCTCTGCTGAGTCTGAGATTCACCTTGAGAGACCATGTGTCAAAACCAGGTGGCTTTCCAAGTGGCCTTCATAACCTGTGAGGTGTCCCAGCCGTGCCCAAACTTGCTGTCATTTGCTTCAGCAAAATTTTGGGGGGGCTCTTGCTCCCCAAAACTCATGTTGCAGAGCTTTATTTGTCCCTTGATACACTAAGTGGTCCTTTCCAGCTCCCCTTCCCCCTAATTTGATATCAGAGGACCAAATAAACTGCCACCTGTCTCAAAAAGAAATATTTGGCCAGCCATTGTCAGACCATAATTTGGGCAAGAAATGGTTTGGGAAGGAAACTTTAGGATGGGTTTATAAATTCTGGTTTTTTTTCAAATGCACCATTGTCTTTCCCACAGGGCCCTCCAGGAATCCAGGGACCTAAAGTAAGTCAATAAATTAAATGTCACCCAGTTTCCCAGCTGCCAGTGCATTATTTACAGGCTCACAAAAGGCCTGTCAGTTCTGGAGACTGGCTATTTTTTTTTTTTTTGGGTCACTGTTGTCACAACAAATCCCTTGGTTACACTGTTCAGCAGTTGGTGTTCCAGAAAACAAGCAGTTTGTCCTTCCAAACACATTTATGACCCAAAACCCTCCTCCAGCACAGAGTCCTGAGGGCTGGCAGCACATGTGAGTCAGGATTTCCAAACCAAAAGGCTTCAACCTGCATTTTCAACTATTTTCTTACATGACTTGGTCAAGAGGAAAACATGGCCAGCAGTGTGGGTGAAAGCATCCCAGAGAAGGGGGCAGGGGAGGTGGTGGGGGTGTGGGGTGGCTGCCCTGGGCAGAGCTGCCAGCTCTCCTTGGCTGATGCCATTTCATTTATGCAGGGTTTGGACGGTGCAAAGGGAGAAAAAGGTGACACTGGTGAGAAGGGGGACCACGGTGACACTGGACCCGCTGTGAGTAGTTTTCCCAAATCTCATTTCTGGCTGTTGGCAGCAACCTGCCTGACAGCAACGATCCCAATGCCCTGTTTCTTTGTAACTTCAGGGTCTCCCGGGCGCTCCAGGGCTCATTGGTTTACCTGGTACCAAAGGAGAGAAGGTAATCCATGGGGTGGGAGAGGAGAGGTGGCATTGGGGTGCAATCCTAAAACAGGGGCTGAGTCCAGCCAGAGCTGCAGAGCTGGACTGACCAGCACTACCCTGGTGGGTCACAAGGAGCAACCTCCAACCCCAGGGGCTGCTGAGTGAGCTTGTGCTCTTACTACCATATTACACCAACTGGATATAAGTTTGTCTGCAACACCAAACTCAACACAGCATGTCTTAATTTTGATTTTATGTCTTAATTTTTATTTTTACAACCACAGGGAAAGCCGGGGGAGCCAGGATTGGATGTGAGTATGGAAACCATTAATTATTAATGTATAAACATGAATAACATGCATGTAACTTGAGACTGTTGGGAAAATATGCAGCTAAGATTGTATAGACTACTCTCCCTTAAACACGGTGCCCATGGAATGATGTCTGTAGAAAAGGGCTGAATTCAGACCAGTTGGTGGGATACTTCCCCTGCACAGTGGAACTGCTTGGCTAAAGGTGCCGTGGGGGTTTTCCTTTCCAACTGAGGATATTGGTATGGGATTCAGTCAAATGAAACTCCAATACCTGTAACATTACTGGGGTGTGGTGGAGCACTCCAGCTTTCCCAAGAAATTGCTGACACACAAAGTAAAACTGGAAGAAAATGTCATTCTTCACCACGGCAGGATGGGCTGATGAACTGAGATGCCATGATGTTCACAGACTGAACTTACAAAACCTTTTTTTTTTTTCCTCTTTTTCCCCACCTAAAAATTGTTGTGATAGGGTTTCCCAGGTCTCAGAGGAGAGAAAGGAGAGAGAAGTGAAAGAGGCGAGAAGGTGAGTGGGTTATGGCTGCAGAGACGCTCATGGGGCAGGACAAGCAGCTCTTTCTGCCAGGTTGCCCTGGATGCTGGTCCTCTCTTGGCTGTTTCTCAAGTAATTCCTGAAAGGCCTTTTCCATAGCACAAGTACTTGCCTGGTCCCAGAGTAGGGCAGGACAGGCAGTTAATTCCTACCCACTTGGAAGAGCTTTCGACCCCCACCCACAGCACAACCACTGTGGGGAAATGGAGCAGCCTGACAGCTCCAGGTTGCAAAGAATTGATGGTCTTGGTTTCTAGACCTTGAAAATAGATCCAAGGCAAAGGTTTTACTACAGGGATCCTTAAACAAAGGGATGCCCAGCTGCGTCCAGGGCAGTGGCTGGAAGCTGCTGCTCCCACTTGCTGTCAGATACCAACCTTTAGTCAATCAATTATCTATTACAATATCTCCACCTAGCTTTTAACTAAAGATTTTCACAGTGATTTAATTACTCAGCTGAGGTTACACTTGTGCAACTGTCCCTGCTCTGGGTGAGGAGTGGGACTCTGTAAGTGCTGTGAGACATAAAGCAAAGGTGTTCCTTCTCCTTTTTCCTGATATTTTCCTGTTGTGCTGACAGGGTGAGCGAGGAATACCAGGGAGAAAAGGAGCCAAGGGGCAGAAGGGGGAACCAGGCCCCCCTGGACTGGATCAGCCTTGTCCTGTGGTATGTCTTCCATTTCTCTCATCCTGAGCTCGGGTTGCTGGGGCTTTTCAGCCGGGGAAAAGGAGGGAGGATTTGGGAGTTCTCTGTTTTCCAGTAAATCAGAGCAGATGGTTATTGTTTTCTCACTTTTCTTACTGGTTTATCTGCACTGCTGGAAGTTCACTGCTCGTTGTAAGGGCTCCTCACTGGCCAGATGGGAGCAAGACACAGCAGTAAAAATAAAGGATCTTTGTGTAAAGACCTTCTTATTGTAGTCAGGAACAATGGACCTCAGTAGAGCTCTTCAGGAGATAGTGTGAAGCTGCAGGCCTGGCTTCTAAGCATGTCTGAAATCAGGGAGTAACTGAGTGCTGTGCATGGGAAGTGATTTGAAAACAAGGTCAGCTCTATCCGTTCATCCCAGCAAACCAAGCGAGGGACGAGCCTGGGGAAGTGTCTTAGAGTTGATGCCATCATAGTTCTGCCGAAGAGAAGTGATGGATGAGCTGGAGCTGGAGCTCCCCAGGCTGCCAAGAAGTGCCTCTGGGAGAAGAGACCTCCCTGGGTTTCTCTGCCTGTGGCTCAGATCTGTCCCTTCTCAGTCAGACACATCCTGGGCCACCACTGTGCAGTGTCTACAAAGACAGGCTTTCCAGGAAACCTCCTGGGTGTTTGAGCCAGGGGAACCTGGATCTCCCTAGTGCACTTCCAGAACCTCTCATTCACTTGACAGAGCCCAGGAAAAAAAAAAATCTAGACTGATTTATAGGTTATTTGACCTGGTAAAATTTACCTCCTTTTCATTACTGTTTTTCATATATTGACTAAAACCAGAGAGATCCTTTCCCTAAAGTGCTTTGAAAGGTGCAGGATGAAAAGTATCAAATATTGAACTGAAACTGCTTAAATGTACCTGTTTAAGACTTTAGTTCAGAGGCACCAAATAGTGCCAGGTACTTGCTCTAACACGATCCAAAAACCCATTTCTTGTCTAAATGTGTGACTTTTCCTCAGCCTGCCAGCACAGCTATAGCAGCCAAAGCTGTTATGTAGCTCCACCATACCAGTAAAAAGCTCCTTTAGTCAATATGCTTTATTTTGCCCAGAGATTGAATGTGAACTACCATTAATTTTTTCCTCCCTCAACATGTTAGGTGATTTACCTCTTACCTCTCTGACTGAGCTGTTACAAATGTGAATCTCTGGTTTGTGTATAGATGATCTTTCCCAGATGACAGACTCTGCGTGTCTGTGAATTCCCTACCATAAAACCACTCTGCTGACTTGCTGTGTCATCAGAAATGGAGCTGTGAAGCTCTAGACCCATTCTCCTCCTCTGCTGAAACGTGGGCATCTGTCTGAGTAACTTCTGGTCCTTTATCATTCTCAACAAGCAGTTGTTTTTCCAAACAGGGAGATCATAGCATTGCAGGCAGCAAAAGGGAGCCAGGTTTGCCAGGCCTGGATGGGCTGAGCGTGCCCTGCCCTTTGGTACAGTATCTGCTCTCTCTCTTTCTTGCATGACTTGTTGTGTGTGTTCCTGCTGTGGCCAAGCCCTGTCCTGAGAAGCAAATCCCTCCAGGGAGAGGAAGGACACAAGGCAGCAGGGCTGGAACGAGATGTTTCACTTGGGCATTTGGGGAAGGATGCCAATGTCTTGTTCCTGCTTCCTCCCAGTTAAAATGACTTTAGATAAGGAGTGTAAACCATGGGAGATCACGTAGAGGATGCTGGTCCCTTCATGGCAACAGATGCTCAAAGTTAGCTACGGTTTCTCTCAGCACCTGTGGCCCAGTTTGGTTCCCCTCGTGCTGGTGCAGCCCTGTGAGTCCCATTCCCAGCTGAGATTTGAAAAGCTTCCCTCAAATGAAGGGGCAGCCCTGCAGAGCAGGGTCACCAGCACTCTGGGCATCAGAAGGACTTCGCTGTGTCAGCACAGAGCTCAGGTTGGGTCCAGTGGTTATGCAGGAAGGTTCGTGCTCTCCTCCCCAAAAGGGCTCTGCTCAACTAGTCATTGTTTTATTTTCATTTTTTTTAACCATAGAAAATGCTACATGTCAGATGATTTGCAGTTGTCCTCAGAGAAACAAAAGGGCAGTAAGCTGTTTCTCTTTCAAAAAGTTAAATTACTTTCAGATGTGTCAAAGAAACCAATTCCTAACAGCAGGCCCGCTCCAACTCTCCATATTTACTCCCCAGAGATGTTCTATTCACCAAGCATCTCCCATCTTAACTGTACAGAAAACACAGGACCTCTCTGTATTGAAGGCACTGTAAACTGCAGTAGGTGATTTCTCCAAGATGTAACTACAACATGACCAGTTAGTAAAGCCCTTGCACATCTCCCTGTTTGTGTATATGAAGGGCAGTTGCATGTTGGTTGGAATGGTGACTTTGTTCTCCACCCCACCGTGTGGTGGAGGCTTTCTGGGCTCTCAGTGACGGCTTTTAGTCCAGGAGCATCAGCACGAGCCTTACACACAGGCCACAAAGCTCTTTTTAAGTTGACAAGTCATTTTGGAATCACTGGAGTGAAACGTGGTAGAAAGGCTGGAGTTTTATGATGGCCAAAGTTAAGTATTTTGAGGAAGGAGAAAAAAACGGGGCAGAAATCAACTCTGTGACCATCCATGTTAGGGTGTGCTTTAACAGCAAGTCAGGATGTTTCTTGGTCAAATGACTGCTCTGCAACTTGTCCCCTGTACCCTTCACCCCCAGACAACTCTGGCAAATGTACCAGTTGCACTTTTCTTATGAATAGTTATGGACCAAAATATTGACCGTGTCTGCAGAAAAATGTGTGTTTTCTAACTAATGTCACAGGAAAGCATGTGAAAATAACTTGACTTCTTACACTGTGAGTAGCTGGAGAGGGTAACCTTACTTCACTGCATCTGTTTTATTGGGCATAGGCTATTTTACATATAAAATCAATACAGAATACAAAAAATGTGATGACTGACATTTACAGTAAAAAATGTAAAATTGCATTTTGACCTCTGTTTGCACTGGCAGTTCCCTCTGCTGCACACACATTCCCATGGCTTCCCACCCCCGGGGAATCTGAGGTGGCTCTGAGGGAAGGGTCAGTGCATGTGTGCTCTCTGTGGCTCTACATGCAGAAATTCATGTAATTGGAGATCCAAGAGCCTTTAAAAATTCCAGCATGACAAAAGGCAGCTGAAGTCAGCTATTTCTTCTAAAGTGTCTTGAAAGAGCTGGTCATACAAAGCCCATTCCTCTTCTAAGGGGCTCCTTCCTTTTCAGTGCTCTCCTCCTGGTCAGTGAGCTCTTCTCTGGCTTTCTGGTTTTTGTGTGCTTCTTGAATCTCCATTGGAACATGACATATTTTCACCCCCTTTGCATAATCCACAACTCATCCTATGTCAATCAGTTCAGCAACTCAAGATTTCTTAAAGAAACTAAGTACTGCAGGATCAAATTTAACACAATCAGGATACCATCCAGGAAAAAAAGACCTACATCACCTCCCCCCCAGTTGAAAAGTACATTTTAACAGAAGGTACATTTCCACATCATGCTTTCCATATTTATGTCTGATTGCAAAAACCACTACCTCATAAACCAGATCATGAAGTTAATGAACTGTGGTTTCAAATCTTTATATTTGTTCACATTTTCTTTTTTGTTTAAAGGAAAACAGAAAGTGTAGATTTCTGATTTTTTTTACTCTGGGGTCTATTCAATTTTGTGTTGTGTGTGACACATGGATTACATTGCCTGCATATTTAGTGTTGTGCATATACAGTAAATGGGTTTTGCATGGTAATTAACAGTGCTGCTAAACTATTCATTGTTGTGACAACTGAGCTTCAGGTTTTTGAGTCTGACACTTAAGCCACTGTCAAGAAAACTGAATCTGTAAATTCAATTTTGCAGGGACCAGACGGACTGCCAGTAGCAGGATGTTGGCATAAGGTACAGTAACATTAATAACTGTATATCCTTGAACAAGCCCCAAGTAATTTTTCTGGCTGCATGATGACTGTTTGCCCTGCTGCATGTCCTTTATATGCCTGGCAGACATGATGTCATGCCTTGGGAGAGCAGGATTCCAGCAGCTTCATGTCTTGTTCCCCACTGCTCTAGATTGGTGCTGGGAACACCAAGAACTTGCTAAGCACAAAAAAATCAATGTTGTTAATACTGTCAGTAGAATGCCTTTTCACAGGCTTGCTCAGGCTTTTGTTATGGCACAGGCAGCTTAGGAACCACCTGTGGAAAGGCTGCAGCACTCTGCAAGATGTGCTCCTGCAACTTACTCAGCTCATAACCTCTAGATGAGAATTTTACAGTGGGTTATTGCTTTGTTGCAGAGTTACAAACATTTATGGCCAAACAAGGGCTCTTCTACCATTGTAATTATAACCCAGAGCCACCACACTGGCTGAGTGCTCCAATACCCTGGGTGCAGGTAATTCATTCCATCTCCTGCACCCAGAACAGCCAGGGGTGTTATGTGGTAATGCAGCCTGGGAGAATGAGGAAAGATGTGTCCACTGGGACATGAGGATTTAATTCAGACTTGCAGGAGGATGCTCATTCTCTGACAAGGGTATGACACTGAAGCTGAGAGGAATTACTAACCCAGTTGTATGTGGATGTAGTTGGGAGTTAACAGCAAGCATGTTACTAACTGGTTGCAAACCCTCAGTTAGAATGTGAGCACACCCTTAGTACATCAAAGTTTTTAATTATGTGTAAGTCATTTGGATGTCTTGTTAATATTAAAAGAAATTTGAATGCCAATCCTTATAATAATAACAATAAGATTAGTAAGTGTAAGGAATGGAGCATTTATCTGATTAAAATGTTTGTCTGTGTGTTCTTTTTCAGTGATCCCTAAGCATGAAGCACAATATGTAAATAATGTGATATATTTTGATCTTTTTAATTTTTGTATAAAAAAAGGAAAAAAAAAACTTCCGACAGTAATATATTGACCTTTTTTTATACTGGATTCTGACATTTACGGACTTGGAAAATATTGTAAAGCTCCCAAACCCATAAAATACGCATGGTAACACCAGGATTTGATAAAGGTACTGCTGCCAGTAGCTGGGAATGAACAGTATTTTCACTGCTCGTGCTGCTGTGTGAACTAACAGTACTGAGCCAGCTGCTCGTGTGCCTCATCGCATGGAGTAAACCCTGTCCTAGTCTGGCTCTCACCTCTGTATCTGCATTGCACATGCACACTGAAAGGGTGAAAGAACCTGGCTGAAAACAAAGAAAAAGAGGATGCAGCCCTGAAAATGGAAGAAGCTACTGTAAACTGTCTGGTCAGACAGGAGAAGGACTTGCAACCTGCAGAGGAGACAAAGCCGAGCTCCGTTCGTCGCTGCTGCTGGGGTGGAAACAGCAGCTCTGGGGCTGAACACAACAACCCTGACTGCCTGGGGTTATTCTACAACCATGAGAAGCTTTTTTCCCCTCAAGGGGAAGCACCTCTGGGTCCTGTTCTGGGGTCTGTGCCTGAAGATGTGCCAGCACTTTGTTACTGTGGAAGCTGAATTCCCCAGGAAGCCTCCGCTGGAGAATTTCCAAACAAAAAAATGTGGCAATACTTTCAGTGCAGAGAGTTGCAGGACAGGGAGAGCTCTGCTAAAGTCCCTTCTTAAACAACAGAGCACATAATTTTGCTGTTGGGATTCCTAGAACTTGGGAGTTTGGAGTATTTAATTGTCTTGTTTTGTGGGTTTCATTTACTTTTTATTTTTTCTTGGTTTACATGGTTTTAACTGTAAACTAACTCTGCACACTCCTCTTGTCTTCTTCCTTTTCTCCCCCTTTTCAGTCTCTTTCTTTAAACTATCTCAGGCACATCCCATGCAGAGCAGGGCAATAAATAAGAGGATTATTATTTTGATATCTGCATATGCCACTGCAAGATCGACTAATAACTATTCCTCAGTTCCCATTTTTTCAGATGTTGAAAAAAACAGAGGCTGTGCAGTAGAGAGCCATAAACAATTATTTCAAAGAGGAAAAGGATGGCTTACAGCCGAGTCTGTTCAGCTTACAATGAAGATCAAGAGGCAACCAGATTCCTTTACAGGGAGGAGATACTTTCTATTAACAAGTTCTTAAACTGAACAGAGAAAATGTACTAATATTCACCCAATGGGTAGAAGCTCAAGCTACACAAACTCAAATAAGCTGTGGATTTTTATTGGTGAGACTGATTAATCCTAACCAGGCCAGTGATGTAATCCCCATCACCTTAATGCCTTTTTGATTTAACAGTTCATTTCTGGAGGAAATACTTTAGCCCCAGATAAGTTGCTGGGTTCTGTGTGGGTGTCTTAGGTGAAATGAAGAGCCTGACCATGATATCAAACATGATATCAGGGTTCTTTGTGGCCTTGATCTTAAAGAATACAGAAGGGAGTCACTTTTGGTGCCCTGAGTAGATCCAAAAACCTCTGTTAGATTCTTGCTTCACTGCAACTCTTACTGCAGCTACTGCCAGAGAGGGCTTGAGAGAGGGATGTGACTGTCCAGGTGCTACTGCCCTGTACAAGCTGACCTAGTGCTACAGGAATTCTTGCTCCAGTGCTCTGAAGAACAGTGGGAATGTGCTTTGTGCTCCGTGCAGGCTGGGTGATGTCTGTGGGTTACCTGTGACTGGATCCTGGGTGTCCTTGAGCTCATCCCTTTAGCTGGGAGGGTGTGTTGTTTGCTGGTCAATGCTGCACTGCCCATCTGCCTTGGTGGGTGTGGACACAGAAGACTTAAGGGCTGTAGGCAGTGGACTTGTTACCTGTTGTTGTTGGCTGCTTAGGGTCTACACCTACACATCACTTGTGGCTATACTTGGCATTTTCACCAGTTACTCACCATTCTCTTGGTCACCATAGAGATTAAATCCATGTAAATTCGTATCAACTAACAAATCAAGAAACAAGAATTATGTAACTCAAAACAGCAATGAAAATGCATTTTATTTACTTCCATTTCATGTTCTTAGCTATCACTTTTGGTGTAGGGGTTTTTAAAGGCATAAGGAGCAGCTAACAAGCTCCCACTGGTTTTTAGTGCTTTTGAAAAACCCCTTTATTGTCCCAAATTAAAGCTAAAAAAATCTTCTGTGAAAGGTTGAAGGCAAATCTCTCATTGATGTCTCCAGGAAGATCTGTAATTGTTCCCTTAATGTACAGTTGCTCTTCCCATCTGCCACAGTCATCTCCAAACTAAAAGCAATTCACTACTCCAAACCACACTGTGGGCTTCTACACTCAAATTCCTGCCCGTGTCCTGATCACGGAACCTCTTTCAGTATCAATGAGAGTTCAGTCCCCAGAATGACTGCAGAAAGCACAAGAATCTGGAAGTGTCCACAAACAATCTACAATGCAGATAGAAAAGTCTTGTTTTACATACGCTGGCAAAAACTAAACAGCTTTCTATCTAGCTCCTACTTGAAGAAGTTTGATATCACTGAAGCTACAAGACAAGCTAACCTCCAAAGCTTATGAAATTATATTAAAATTTATATTTTCTCTGAGGAAATACCCCGAAGTCCTATTATCTTCAGGTAAACAAGTCAGTATTCCGTCTTCAACTTGTGGAATATCCAGTGCTTGTAGGCATCAACTGTGACCACTGCCAGGCCTGCAAAACATTGATACAGAATACCAGAATAGTGCTTTACCTATTGCTCCTCACCGTCCCCCTCCCAGCACAGAGCTCTGCTGCCACAGCACCCGGGACATTGGTTGTTAGGGAGGAAGAGCTCGTTTGGAATCACCTAAACCTCGTAACCAGGGTGCTTATTCCCCATCCCTGAGGCACAGCCTGACCACTCACAGCGTTTCCACACCACTCAAGGAAGGCTGGAATTATTTTCCTAGCATGGGACTACACCTGGTATCCGACACCCACCAGTGCCACACCTCAGCAGCCAAACACTTTGGTGCTCACCTTTGGAAACTCCCAGGCAAATACCCTTGGGTTGGTTCATCCGTGCACCTGCAGCAGCGAGGGATGTTCAGGACATCTGACTTACTGCCCCTGTACAGATCAGCCATCTGTGCTCAGTCACTTCTCTGGACTCCTGCCACTGCCATTCCCACCAGGAATGCTGGCAGGTACAGATCCTGCTGTATGCTGTTGCCACTTTGGCTATGAGGAACGAACCAGTCTCCAAGGCCTGTGGGTAGTACATCTCCTCTACCAACCCCTTCCACCACCGAAGCAGTGGAGCTCTGTGGAGAGCAGAGCTCCTGGGAGCAGAGCAGGGAATGGATCCCCAGGCAGGGCTGAGGTTCTGATCAGCACTTGAAGTCCCTCCTGGTCCTCAGCTGAGATCATGCATTTGACCTTTATGTTCTGAACTGAGTGTACCTGGTTCCCTGCCCACGGCAGGGGGTTGGAACTAGATGACTTTTAAAGTTCCTTCAAACCCAAACCATTCTGTGATTATCAATCATATCATTCAGAGCAACAGACTGTATTAGAGGGACTGTTGGGTTTTCTATGGATTGCAGAGAGTGTAAGAAGGAATCTATTTAGATTTCCATGTGCCTTCCACACACACACACATATTCAGAAGAGTAGGTTGTTAAATACAGAGCAGTCATGATCTTATTGCAATGAGTTAAAAAAAGATGTGCTTTGCTCAGCAACTTCATGCCAGATCAGTTGATTATTTTCTCCTTCCAGATGAAAATGTTTATGTGGGTCTTTTTGAATACTTTTGAGTTTGCAAATAGCTCACAAAGACAAATTTTACTTTTAGGTATTACTGGCAGTCTTGCTCCAACTCAGTCATGCTCTCAGTCTCTCACAAAGCATAGGGCATTTTTTTCCCCAGGAAACCTCTCTTGTTTTCCCCTCTGGTTGGAAAGAATGTGAGACTGTTTTACAGCAATTCTGAAGTGCAGCAAAATGTTACCACTATATGTCAGTAGCAATAAGGATGATTGACAGGGAGGCTGCTAATGCTTATGAAATGTGGGTCAGTCTGAGACTTGAACAACTTGATTTTTCTCGATCACTAAAATATTTGGTATATTGACTTCATGAATTCATCAACAGACATTCTGGGTAACACACTGAAGTTACTGGTCTTGGGGGAACCTGAAACTCAGACAAATTTATTTCTGTTTTCTAGTTTACAAACCAAAATTCCTTTCCCTAATTAAAATGCCTGTGAAAGCATGGTGGTTTCCATTAGGTTAAGCTAACCATGTCTGCCTGCTGCCCGGGAGCAGAGGACAAGCAGCCTTCTTTAAGGCTTGTTCTATTTAAAATTGTGGCTGACAATTATCTTTCCAGTTGCTACCAACATCCTCTCTCTAACACGCTGCAGGAAGCAAAGTTCCCAAACTGAATCCTTAGGGCACAAGAGCTCACTTGAAACCCCTGAGAAGGTTTTTCAGCCACGAAGCTCTGCAGGCAGGGCTGCCTTGCCACCAGACATGGCAGATGTGGTACGTGACTGACTCTGGCTGTGGGGGCTGTGTCAGTCCTGGTGCCCCAGGAGTGGTGATGCTGCACCCAACTCTAAGTATGGGGAGCACTCCCTAAAGCTTCTGGGGAGAATGGATTTGGGGGAGAATGGATTTGGGGGAGAGTGACTCCAGCAGTGCTGGGAGTGTGCTGGCAGCTCAAGAGGGCCCTTGCCAGAGCATGAACCTGATGATTTGGCCTGTGCTGATGGGGACAAGTGAGATTAATTAAGAGTTTTGCAGCTGAATCGTGGCTTGGCCAGTGAGTTCAGGAATATTTCTCTGGATTATGAAACAGGTGGCAGAGAAATCCTGATCTGACTCCAAGCTGGAACTGTTTCCAAGTGTCAATGAACCAAGATTTTACTTAAAAAAAAAAAAAATCATCAAGATGTTGCCACGTGCTTTGTTTTATTCCCATGGAGGAGTCCTGTACTCCCTGCTTCTGACACTTGCTGTATATAGAATGGTGATTTCCATATGGATTTTTCTCCCGTGTATTTAAAAATAAGAATTTTTCTTCTATGGTAAGCAACTTTCTGATGTGTTTTCTTTTTAGGAAACCAACAGGTAAAACATTTAGATGAGCTTTTGTCTTCTGTAATTTCATAAATTCAGCATTTTAAATTCTTAAGCAAACCAGCAAAACACGTGGGAGGTTTCAGCAGCTCAAGACATCCCATGGAATGATGCAAAATAATCCACAGAGAATGACACAGGTTGACCTCTGGTTTTAAGATGATTATAGTAACCCACTAACCAGGCTAAATTTTTATACATATGGTTTTGCAGTCAGCCAAACACAGCAGGCTCTTGGGCAAGAATGAAAGGACCCACTCACTGTAATGCACGAATAATTAAAGTTAATAATAAAATTTATTTTTTAAAAATTTATTCAAATTATAAGATGGCAGAAATTTCCAGCTCTATAATGATAAATAACTCCCCCTGTGCCTCCTTAGCCTGTCAATATAATGAGTATTATAAAGGTGTATCAGAGCACAGATTTCCTGCTCAGTGAATGGTGATTCAATGCTGCCCTCTAGAGGAGATATTTTTAAATATTTTTAATACAAACAAATTTATGCAAATTTTATGCTGTGACACTGTCCCTTAATTGGCAGCACAGAGAGAGATGGGCACGACTTTTGCATAACTCTGTGGTTTGAACTGATATTTGTAAAACAGCAGTACACAGATAGAAACTTTGTTTTTTCCAAAGCTGGTATTTCTTTCTTGGGAAATACCATCATATTCTCACACTTGTTTTTTCAGTCCCACTGCTGCCCAGATAATTTAAAGAATTAAACAAATTAAATCTACCTGTAGTAGGTTACATGTCATGTTTCCATTTTTAAAATTTTGAGCATGAGAGCTTGGGATTATTTTCTTTAGAGAAAACAGATTTTTAGTTAAGATATGCAAAAATACTAAGAAAAAATGTAAAAATTGAAACATCCCCAAACTACTTATCCTGGACAAATACTGCAGGTATGTGGGGTGAGTTTGGTTTCAATGTGCTCTAGCAGAGCTCAGTGTGTCCCCAGCAGGTGTCCAGGGCTGGAGTAGAACCTCAAGTTAATTTGGAACTCCTGAGTTTTACCTTTCATTACCTGCTGACATGCTGAGCAGCCCAGCCAGCCTTCCCGGTGTTTATAACCAGGGAGATTTTTAAGTGAGAGATATTAAATACCTGCATAATTTCAAGAGGCCTAAGACACTTTTGCTCAACTCAGGCAATGACTGTGGCACAAACTGACCTTGGCAACCTTACAGGACAGTGTTTATGTAAGAACATTTCTTGGACTCTTTTGCAATAGGTTTTTTTTTAATTTATGGGGTTTTGTTTTGGGTTTGTTTGGGGTTTTTTTTCCACAAAAAGGAGGGGGCAGAGGGAAACACCTGGTCAGTCTAGTTAGTCCAGTCTCAGTGTCATTTGCTGGAGGAGTCACCTGCCTTCTAATTGTGTCCCTGGCACTGCACTGAACCTGGCCATAATTTGTTTGAACTACGTGAATTTGTTTGAAATACTTCACAGCTCTGCTTCAGGGAATCTACTGCAGACTGAAGCAAACCAGTGAGTAAAAAAATCCATTTCCTAAGCTTTCTTTTCCCTGATGATCGTTTATATCTGTAAGCTAAAAATTACAGTATTTTCACATGCCCAGGTGAGCTACTGCAACTTTTCCATGTGCTTATAAGGGGTGTGTAACTGTTGTGTAACCTGCAGCTAAAGCAAGTGCTGAAAACCTGACACTTAGAAATGAATGGAGGAAGGACTTTAATAGATTATTGTATACTACTGGAGAGAGCTTGGGGGAAACCACAGGAAAGCTGGGAAACTTGAGTTTTCCATGCATAAGAAGTTGAATTATTGACAAGAGAGCGGAATAAGAATTAGATTAGTAACATTTTGTGGTTTTCCTATGTCTTAGGACAACAATTAATTCCTGTTTGCTAAGTTGCCTCATAGTTGCATAGTTTCATGGAACAGTCACTCACATGTGTGTCAGTGTGTGGTTTCTTATATAATGTAGATAATGAACAGAAACTTAAAATGGAGATGGCCCAAGTATCTGTAAAGGACACTAACACCCCTTGCTGCTTTTTTATATACTGTTAAATACTGCATTTGAAAAGTGTATTTTACACGAATTTATGAAGTGTAGGTAAGTCTGTATCAAACTTTCATTTCTGCAATTACATTAAAAAATTAGGACCTGGTTTTGCAAAGCAAAAGCACCCACATTACCCACTGAATTTCTGAATTTAGTACAAGAGGTAGTAAACTGCCATCACTTAGAATGGGAGTTGGAGTCCTGTTGTGTTTGCTGGTTTGTTTCACAGAGTGCATTTTTACAGACAATTTCATGACATAGCTATTTTTTGTGTTACTATTTGGGGTTCTTTTTCTGTTATCCAAAAAAAAACAATCAAAAAAATTCAGTATGATGAAAGTTCAGCACAAAATACCACAGTCAAAACCTGCTCTATGTTCATTTTATATCCCTTACTTTGGACATAGAAATATTACAAAAAATAACATTTGAGAAACTGTACCTGCTGCTACTTAAAGTCTGACTGAAAATGTTACTTATTTGTAGAAAAATACATGCAATGTGTGCCTTCTCTGCCCATATTTGTTTTGAAATTATGCCGATA